ATATAGTTACATAATTATACATATCATACAAAAATAAACCACATTGTGGTTGTGATAATTTTGTGAGGCCACATCGAAAAGGCTCGGATGAGCTTGCCAAAGTTGTACAAGTTGTGTCTCCATCGCTTGTCTCCAGATCACACGCTGCACTGCCATGCTACTCCGTCTTTTTCACCGACATTTATGTGTTTGCGCGTGCGCAGTGTGAGAAGCTGCAGTGACACCCTCACGACCAAGTGATTGATGGGGAGCTGGTCGATGCACGACACACGATGAAGGCCAAAATCAGGCCGATCACCAAAACGGTCGCACGACTGAAAAATTGGCTCAAAATGGGCCAAAAATCGCACAGTATAAGCCCAGCTTAAGTATCGGGAACTTGCTCTCTGTTCTGAGACAAGATCCTCAGAACCGAAGAGCCGAAATCTTTTATGTTGACCTTATATGTGCAGAACACAGATGTAGGGCTGCACTCACTGGAGCTTTATTATTAAAGTTCCAAGAAAACACAGAACCTAAACTGGCAGATATCACAGCATATTGACTGGAATCACTGAACAGCAAGCCCACACATTGAGGGAGATCGCAACAACAGACAAGGGGAGACACAGACAATATATACACAAGAGGGAAGGAGAGCAGAGAGGACACACCTGGGGAACACAACTGAGCATAGTCTGACTGAAGAGACAGGGGAAGCAGAACATAACATAACTCACAGAGAAAAAGAGACTATCACAATAAAACAGGAAACAGAGAAACACACGGTGAGGCTCAGACCGCCACAGCCACATGCTTGTTTCCTCTGTTCTCTTCTCTTTTGGGATGTTTTTTCAGCTGTGCAAGTCCATTTCTAGTTTGCGTCACACTTTCACATTTCACTACTTTCCTGCTAGTAGGTGGCAAGTTAGCATCTTGATGACTGGGGTAATCTGCTGTTGATCAAAGAAATTGTAAGAAGGCTTTTGGTGTGTCACCCTCTTTGCGACTGAAACCTCCAGCAACCACTTGCCAACCAGTCAAGGAATAGATTTTCCCTGGGAACTGGAGGCTGCCAGGATCCATCCATTTACAGGTAACCAGTCTAAGATAAATAAATAAAAGTGAGCTTTTAACAGTTTGTGATCTAAAATGCACGTCATAAGACAGAGGAGTTACAAAGTGTTTGAAAATAATTCATCTTCCCCTGCATTTACTGAGAAACTACAACTTGCACGATTTGCAAAGCTGTCCAGAAGGCTGCACTTATGCATTTTGCTTTATTTTGTATATGATTTCTTGTATTATTGTCATGATCCTGGGTCATAATTTTCTTGTGTTTTTGTATTTTGATCTTTATTTATTCCATGGTTCCTAGGTTGTTCGGTTTAGTTTCTTAGATTTCCCCTCGTGTCTTTAACCCACGTGTCCCCCTCCATGTATCTGTGAGTTCCCAAGCCTCGTTTCTCCTCGTGTTTTATTCCATGTTTTCCCCAGCCCGTTATATCTTTGCTCTCCCCGTGTTCTCTCTCCCCCTCCTGTGTACTTCCTGTTTTACTTTGTCAGTTTCCCGTCAGCATACGCCATGTTGTGGTTGCTCCTGTCCTGTCTCGTTATGATTATCAGTGTCAGCTGTGTTCCCACATCCCTCGTTATCCTTCTGAGTATTTTTGTCTGCGTCTCCCTCAGTTCCTCGTCGGGTCCTCCGTCAAGCTGTGTGACTTTCCTCGTGCCTTTCCTAACTTCTGTATATTGTTTACATGATCGAAATAAATTGAACACGACAGCAATTTAGTACTTAAGGGTTAGGTGTGTCAGATGTGCTGCACAGCTGGATCAGATGTTGAGCAAGTTGGTGCAGATCATCATGTAACTTTCTCTTTTATACAATACACCTGGTATTTATTCATGAAATATCTGAACTGGCGGTATTACTGATTTAGGCAGGTGTTTGTAATGTGGTTCAACTGACCTACAGTTACAGACACACTTACAGCACTGATCCTGCGATATTAAATATACATTAATGTGATTCACCCTTGTGTTATGCAGGGATTTCACTGAAATTCAATAATTCTGTCACAAATTTCGACACTTAGGTGCTGATGTAGCTCAACTTCTTTTCTTTTTAAAGAAATTGGCAAAACATTGAGCAGTCCTACTTTAAAAGTGTGTGTTTAACTTATTCTGTTACAATGAATATTAATGAACAGGACTGCACCTATCCTGCGAGTAAGGAAAAATGCAACTCCAAATTAACACCGCCTGAGGGAGGTAAAGGAGGGAAAAATAAAAGCGGTCAAAATCTTTTGTTTTGCTGTTAACACTAAGTGCCTATAAATGAATTTTAATTTGTTGCAGCAACCTGACTAAAACTTTTTTGACATGCAAAAAGGAGGAGAATAACTGACAGGCCCCATATTGACTGAATAAATGAAACAAGAGGATCTTTTCTCTGCTTAATCCTTTGATCAAACACGCATTTGTGTAGCTCAGTGGTGTAGTGTAAAAAAAGTGCTGTACCTGCAGTCAAGCTCTCAAAGTAATAACTCAGCTGCGAGGAGGAGCTGTCGGCATCCTGACATCATGTCCAGGACTCACAAAGCTCCCCACCCTTCTGACTGATGAAACTGAAAAAAACAAAACATCCTTCCCTCCTTAAACGGGACACAAATTACTGGTAATGCAGGGAAAGAGGTAAGTGCTCATTGTGTAAGGTTTGAAGGGAGTTGAGTCTGAAGTAATTAGCGTTTGATTGTCTCCAGGCTGCACTTTAACTGTCAGGCAGGTGGTGAGAGAGAGGGAAGTCGGAACAAAAGGAAGTCTTCTGGCTGAAGACGATGGAGGTGCCTGTTACTTAAAAAAAAGAAAAAAAGGTTTGTGACCAGAAGCTGTCTAGCTGTCAAAATATTTAGTCGTGTGAATGATGTTCAGGCCTTGAGCTGGTGAATCAGACTGGAGCAAACAGAGCAGGATGGTACACAAGAGGATCAAGCGCACAGAGGAAATCTTTATAAAACACCTGGAGATGGCCTCAGTGTTACAGTACTGGGGTATAAGTACTGTGGCTTGATGATTAGATGACTGAGACCAGCAACACCCAGGAGTCCACATTAACCAAGATCACAAATCTCCCCAAACCTCGATACACCCTGTTGTGAAAAACCTTGAACTTAAGTTGCTGGTTCATCAGGCAGGAGACCATGGTTTGTGCTTTAATTTCTTTCAATCCTAGCAGGAAGTGCAAGTAAGGCATTAAAAACTGCTTCCCAACAGTGACACCACACTTCTGAAAATGACAAGAAGGAAATAACAGCACTGTCTCACTAATACATTGGTACATCATGGCCTGTATACATTACATTTGTCTATAATGCAGTGATGTAATGGATATGGTTATAGTACTACATTACATTGCAGTTACTAATTAAACAATCATGTTGTTACTTGCACAACAAACCGTGCCGTGAAAAAGTATTTGCCCCCTTCCTGATTTCTTTCTTCCTTTTAAGTATTTGCCACTCTTCAGATCATGAAACAATTGTAATATTTGACAAAGATAACCCAAACAAAAACAAAATTCACTTTTTACATTATTGTTGTCCTGCTGCATAACCCAAATGAGCTTGAGCTTCAGGACATCAACTGATGGCCAGACATTCTCCTTCAGGAGGTAATCCTGTGCTTACCGATACCAGTGGCACTGACAAAAATCGTAGGATCCTCCTTTCTTAGAATGAGAACTGCACAAATACCACCAAACAGAAACGGGCAAGGAGAAAACAGGGAAAAGAGGACAAAGACGGGCAACAGTGGAGGCATGGAGGCCCTGACAGAAGCGATCCGGGAAATATTTCCAACCTTGAAGCAAACCGAAGACAGATACCGCAATTGTGTCTCCTTCAGGTTTAGCTGTGGAAGAATTTCATGGTTATGTGCTAGCTTTGAAACCCCCCATAAATCCTCATAGTTATGAGAAGTTAGTTTTGCTTTATGGTTATTATTATTCACTGTACTTCTGTTTTTTAAAGTGTCTGTAAGACCTTCTAGATTAACCACAACTAAATCTAGAATTTCTATGTTCACATGATCTAAATGTTATTCCAGAGTTCATAGTCCTTAAGATTAAAAATATACCAGCTCACTTTCATTTGTTCATTCCTAAACTGAACCTTCTCCATACATCCCCCAATCACAATCACATGCCTACACAGACATGACTGATTATGAAAAAGTACAACAAACTAAGTTGAATATATATTTAGGTAAGGATATTGTTAAGAGCATTTCCAAATACTTCTGTTCAGAGTTATAAAAACAGTTGTTGGCTAGAGGTCGTTGTAAATGATTTGTGCATATCGTCAATCACTGGTTATTCTCATCCTTCAACTCAATGTTTTATTTTAAATTACTCCACTTTATCCATGTGGTTGCACTTGCTAATTTTTTGCAGCAGGCAAAACAATTTGCATGAAAATTTGTAGTTTTTACTGCGAGTCAACAATGCCAATTACTGCATCAACATGCCACCAACAAACTAACAAGAAAAACTGCACAATCACTGCATTAAAAAAAATTGGCGCAGCTTTCCGGTCTGAACATTGAAGCCACTGCAGACACAATTAAAACTTCCATTTTCCCCCACTAGAGTCAAATCCACTGGTTTAAAGGAAGTCATTGGCTCTTACTTTTTTTGTTTGGCGAGTCATTTATGGTAAATTATGGTCCTTACGGGAGTCAAAAAGCAGTCGTCTGTAGTTAAGAAAATAATGCAGTTAAAAAAATGGTCTCAACTTCAGGCTTCAAACGAGACTCTGCCAACCTTGCTTAGTTTTTACGTTGTGATTCCTTGGCTCTCTCTTATTTTTCTGTCTATTCTTTTCTCTGTTGGATTCTCTTGGCCTTCTCAATTTTGGTTACCAGCTTTGCTTGTGTGTCTCCTGTAGTATTACCTCATGTGTTTATCATCCCACCTCTTCAGTTTCTTAATTGTTCCCACCTGTCTCTTGTTTCCAGTCACTCTGACAAAGACAGAGGCTGAGACGATGCTAACAGATTTTCTCTGCAGTTTTTCATCAGCTGAGCTTCTCTAGATTTCCAACTGCCCAGTGGTCTAAAGGTAAATTCACGGACGTGCTTTCATTTTGTTTTAACCTTTCCTTTCCAGCCTTTGTGATGTTTTGCCATCACACAGGCTCAGGGTTTTTACTTGTCCTTACAGCGGAGGCATTTCTGTGGCAAAGGGAAAACTTCTGAAATGCACAGCTGCCATTTCAATTTTCTTTTTCTTTGTGAGAAATAAGAACAAACAATTTATATTTCCCTTTCCGCCCACCAGAAACCAAGGTTTAGTTTGGGCCCAAAGGTTTCTGCAACGACTTTTTAAATTGCATTCTGCTTTGTGCAAATAGTTATTTTTACCAAGCAGAGAATGAGAAATAGAAAATGCATCACTTGAGTATCTACTTTTCCATGTTTCAGCAGAAATGTAACCTCTTCTCCACAGGGGAACTCTTTTTTTTTTTCTTGCAACAGACGTTTATCTTTTTCACACGAGTGACTTTATTAAGACATTAAACAGCTCTGTAAGCACAAAATTCCCTCTCCATAACAGCAGGTCGTTGATGGCACTCTGTGCACCCTGACATCATTGTAAAGAAGCTGACAGTGATTAACATGTTGCAGGACAGGCAGGTGTCTATGGCGCCACTTCTTCTTCGGTTTTGACACATTTCTGGCATCTCTTCCATACCTTTGATCTGAATAAGTACTCAGTTTGTGGCCCTCGTGTCAGCTGTCTTGTTGACAAGCTCTCTTGGGGAACACAACACAGAAAAACAGTAGCAGTGCTCATACTATTGGACCAGAGATCCCAGCAGATAATATCTAATGCTTTTATTCCACATCCTTCAGGTTAGTTGACAATGACTTCAACTTCAAATCCTTTCAAGGCTAGTTACAAATATCATAATGAAATACTGTTAAATTCTCCCTCAAAAGTGTGCACTTAACATGATGCCATATATTTGTTATTATTTATTATGATTCCACATCAGTCTGTTTCAATTATGCCTCATAACTACTACTAATAACATTTTTAAATTTAGTGTACAGAGATTATTGCAGTTTTGGAAAAATTGCAGAAATTCTTCAGGAGAATAAAAGATTGTTCAAAAGAAGTTGAAGAGTCAACTTCTGGTGTGAAATCCTAACAAAGTTGGCTAATGTAAAGTACCAGGATGAAACTATGTAAAAATTGAGCAACATTGTTCTCAAGCACACAAAATATGGCCTTTGGAGATGGAGCCATGTCTGTGGACAATCTCAGCCTGACCTGCAACATCCTAAGCTCAGGTGTGAACAACCACACAGTTAAGATCAAGACATGGAAGGTCAATAAAGGCAGGAACTAACTCATTTGGCTGGACCATGAACTCCTAGAAGAAGCAAACTTCTTAACGGTGGGGTGACAGACAAGCAAGATGGGGCAGACTCTGTTCTGAAGATATTTGAGATGAAATCAGAGCTTCTATAGCTCCAAGGAGATCCACCAACGCAACAAGTTGCTCAATTCGAGCATCAAGGCGATCATGGCTCAAGAGTTGGGAGTTCGCCTTGTAATCGGAAGGTTGCCGGGTCGAGCCCCGGCTTGGACAGTCTCGGTCATTGTGTCCTTGGGCAAGACACTTCACTTGCTGCCTACTGGTGGTGGTCAGAGGGCCCGGTGGCGCCAGTGTCCGGCAGCCTCGCCTCTGTCAGTGCGCCCCAGGGTGGCTGTGGCTACAATGTAGCTTGCCATCACCAGTGTGTGAATGTGTGGATGACTGGATGTTTAAAGCGCTTTGGGGTCCTTAGGGACTAGTAAAGCGCTATACAAATACAGGCCATTTACCATCAAATCATTGCTGCTGTATGGAGCAGAGAAATGGAGAACAAAAAGCCAACATGTGGAAAGTTCAGACTTTTATGATCTAGTGCCTAAACCAAATTCTCTTGATCTCATGGCCAGAAAAAAAGTCAACTTATGGCGGCAGACAGAGCACCAGCACAGGGAAGGCTCGGCCACACCCTGAGAAAACTGGCATCAGATGGCTGTAGCCAACAAGGCGAAATAAGAAGGAAGGTCTGTGAAAACATTTAGCAGCTCGACATCGTCGTAGACATCAGAGTGGCAGGACTGAGATGGGAACAGGTAGTAAAGAGGCTGCAGCCAGGCAGTTATCAATGGCCTAAGTTTCAGGAAGAGGAAAGAGCCCAAGGTGTCTCACTATTTCAATGGCTGTAGAGATGCAGCTGGTGAGTTTTCTGTTCACCTTTTACTGAGTAGCTTTTAGATGCATAGTTATCACCAACGAGGACGATACAAGATCAGATCTTAAACTAAACCGTATTTGAACAGGCTGTAATGTGTATATTAATCTACGGTAAATTACCAACTACGATATCAGTGGATGTGTAAGCTGAATTCTTCAAGTAATTTCCCTCTCTGAGACATTATGCAGTATATACAGCTTGAAAGCGTGACTACACACCTTAAAAGATAAAAGAAGCAGGACAAAGATGAAAAAAAGAACAGAGGCTGAGGCAGCTTGTAGATGATACATGCCCCAGTAAGCAGTGAAGCCCTGACAGCTTTCACAGCTTTGAGAAAACATTATCCAAGAGGGCCTGCAAGAAGAAATGTGCCAGGACCTGAAGACCATCCACACATTACACTGCTGTCAGCTGAGGGCCAGCTGTGCTGACAACACAAGTCCACATGAGCAGGAAAAGAAGCTGACATGCATAGTAACACAGTTTAGTATGTTTGCAGTGTATTTTGTAAGAGGAAAGACAGAACTGCATCTGATATTTTTTCTAAGTGGAGACAGTTTCCCCCCCCTCATATTTACAAGAGAATAAATTACTTTTCTATTTAGCACACAGATGATGTACTGCAGCATGTGTGGAGGATTTAATACCAAATACATTTCATTGTTTTTTCTCTTTCTTTCAAATATTTTCCTAAAGCTCTTTCAAGGACATCTGCAACAGTGTTTTGTTTTTTTTTTCCCACCAGGAGTCAGATCTGTTACTTAAATGCAATTTAGTAATACTACGCTGTTAAAGTAACCTCAATTACAAGCAAAACACTTAGAATGTTACTTAAGTAAAAGTATGTCAGTGCATAAAAAAAGGCCACTATGGCTGTTGTTCTTTCAATGATTGAAAACAAGGATTTGCTGTTGTAATTGGTCGAGTCTCTGGAAATCACAAAACTGGACTCAGAAACAGATCATTTAAGAGTTAAACAAGATTTATAAACATTAGTTATTAGATTTAGATTAGATGATCTGAAAGATTAGAGCTAGCAGTGGACCAGAGGCCAGTTCTACGAAGCAGGATTTTGGGCCCAGTGAGATAACTTGTTCATGCTTTTCTGTGATCGCTAACAACACTGCTTTATTCACATAAACATGCTTATAGCTAGATTGATAACTTTCTGGGACTACTTGGTCTGACCGATTACTTTAAGGCAAGTGAGACCAGATAAGAACGTTCTCCGTAGCTCAGGCCCCACAGCAGGTTCTAGTGAGGTTGGTGTTGCTGACTGGTGGCAGATAAAGATTAACAATAACGTGAGCAACACACTTATCATGGTTAGTGGAAAAGGACCTGAGGAACTGCACCAAGGCCCAGTATGAGATAAAGAAGGCTTTTTGCAAAGCTCTTCTAGAAAGCCTAAGAATTAGAAAGATGAAACTATAAATTAGCATAACAGTTCCCACTTTAATAGAAGTTTTATTAAGTAAACTAGATGAAAATAATAAATCCCATAACTAATTTTCATAGAATATTTGTTAAAACTATAAAAATAAATAAAAGCTTGTGAATGAAGTGAATACATGATTAGTTTTATAGTTTACTCTAAGCATTTTATATCTGTCTTCATAGCCACAGCACTTACATGGGTCTGAAGCAAACACCAGACTTCACTGACCATTATTATGACTGTCTGTGCACTTAGATCTACACCCAAGCCACTGTCTGCATTTTCCACTTCTCATTGGCTTTTTGAGAATTATAAAATCCAGAGAAATCTGTATAAAACCACAGGAGTTTAAGGTAATCTCAATCCGTATCATAGTCTCTACTTTCCTTTTGGTTTGTCTCAGTACTCATAGCAACTTGAGAATCACAAAGCCCACTCAGCTTCAAATACCTTACACAGGTCACATCTGTCTGTCACTATCATGGTACACATCTGGAAGCCAGGCGTGGTTTGTTAGGAATTCCCCATCCTGCTCACCTGCACTGGGGAATAACGTGCTTTGTTTGATGCTGAACCAAATACTTCATTTCCCATCATAGCCTTGATGGATCTGCTACCAATAGCTGTCTAGTTAGTGACCTGCCTACTGAACTCTGTTAATGTGTCATGAAATGTCACAGAGGTTGCCTCTGCAGAATCGGAGCCTTTTCAAAGGCCTTCTGAAGAGATAAGCATACCCTGCCAGGCTGACTCTGGAATACAAATACCCATTTTAGCATAGGGAGGTGAAAGGATAAAGATAACACAGAGTAAATGTGTCAGAGAGTGGAGCTGGGAGGAATGTGGCCCTTATGGGAAAGCCAGCTAAGGAAAGACGGGTTGCTGGAGATAGCTATGTATGCATGGATGTGGACAGACAAACAAAGAGAAATACAGGGAAGAGAAAAGAGTCAGCATTTTGTTAAATAGAATATTTTAGGTAGTGTTGTGTGCAGTTTTAATGAAAAAAAAAAAGAACAACCCAATGCATTTTTCTTACCTTTAAAATGGAGTTTGCATGTTTTCCCTGAGTCTGCATGGATTCTCTTATCCAGCTTTGTCTTGGTTCAAAAGCATACATGTTAGGTTAGCTGTGGATTTTAAATTGGACATAGGTGTGGTCTGTATTAGTGCAATGATAGACTGGTGACCTGCCGTGTGTGTGTGTGTGTGTGTGTGTGTGTGTGTGTGTGTGTGTGTGTGTATAATATATATATATATCTCTGAGTCAAAGTCTTCTAGTCAAAATCTTTTGATGACTTGGCCTTTGGGGGGATTTTAAGGGTTTCCATTGTATTCTCAGGGTGTTCTTTATCAGCTGCCATCCC